AAAAATGTGAAACTATTAGTTTGCAACATAATTTCCATCTGGGTAGATAAACTTCTGAAAACAGAGTTTCCATCTCTAACCTATCCCCTCAAAATTCTGCTTTCTTTGATTTAAACTATAACAAATAGTAGTTTGGGTAATGTTGAGGGACCTAGAATGTGTTCCTTTGAAATGTTCTATGAGTTTTGGGGGAAAAAGAAATCTGGAGACTCAAAATCAGGGATATAGAATGGAAGAGATCAAGTTTCCATGTTCCAATTATTAATGGATGTTTATAGCTGTTTCTCTTCATTTTGAGTTGTGCCCCATCAGCAAATGAAAGTCCCATGGACTTTTCTCCCACAGGCTTTACTCCATTTGCATCATCACGGACAACTCTACTTTGAGGAGGCAGCTCTTCCCCAGTCGCATTTTGAGTGCCTTCCAACCTGAGGGGCTCATTTCCCAGCACTATATCTGACAGTGTTTCCCTGCTATTCATAAGGTTTTCAGTGACTAAATATTTGGAAGCAGTTCATCACTCTGTCTTCCTAGTCTGTCTTCATCTTAAAGCTCATCTGAAAGCTGTCCACCATGGGTGACCCTGCTGGTATTTAAAATACAAGTGGCACAGCTTCCAGAATCACAGCATTTCATAAGCCACTACAGTATGAGAATCTGACAGATGAGTGGTGGAGTAAGAAAGAATACCTAGGGTAATTTCAGGGTAGAACGCCAGAGTCTTTCTTTTGGTTTAGTAAAAGAAAGTAGTCTAAAACGAAATAAAACAGTCTCATAAAAGAACTCATCAGTATCTATACTCATGGGAACAAGACCTATCTGCCAGTAAGTGTAGAAAACCAGAAGTGACTTCTAAGCCCTTGCTGTGATTAGGTGCTGTCAGGTTGATTCTGACTTGGAGTGACCCCATGAACTGAGCTGCCTCATAGGGTTTCTGTGTCTGCAGTTTTTCTGGAGGCAGATAACTAGGTCTTTCTCCTACATAATCAAGCATTCTCTCCATGTACTTACCTTTTGTTCAGCAACTAAGTGCTTAGCCATTTGCATCTCCAAGACTTCTTTCTCAGCCCTTTGTTGTTGTTCTTCTTAAATGCCTTTGAGTAGGTAATAAACCCATAGAGACCCTGTATAGGGTTGTGGAGGAGCAGTTGTCAAGCTTGAACCACTGTCCTTGTGGCCCAAACTGACACCACACCAGGACTCCTCCAACCGCTAAGGAAGTCAATGATCTATAACTCAGGAAGAGTGGATAAGAAACTCAAAGTATAACCTTGTCCTTGTGGCAGAGTTGTTAAATAACAGTAATAATAAAGTTGTTGTTACATGTCATCAATCATTTCTGACTCACAGCAACCTTCTATAGGATTTTTGACAGCAGGTGGTCTCATAGTGACCCTATATAGGATTTCTGAGAGCAAGTGGTGGGCTTGAACAGCTAATCTTGTGGTTACCAGTTCAATGCTTATCCTACAGTAGCTATCCTACCAGAAGTTGTAATAATAATTGTTGTTGCTGTTAACTACCATCAAGTTGGTTCGGACATATAGTTATCCTGTATAGGACTTCCAATGAGCGGCTGGTGAGTTTGAAACAATGACCTGTGTTTCAAACTGACCTTGCAGTCCAGTGCTTTATCATACAGAGCTAAACCAGTATAATAATTTGTTGTTGTTGCTAAATGCTGTGAAGTCAGTTCTGACCCATAGGGACCTTGTAAAGCATTTCCAAGGAGCAGCTGGTGAGCTTGAACCGCCAACTTTGCAGTTCAAACCAACTTTGCAGTCCAGCGCATTAACCCACAGTGTCACACCAGGATTCCAGTATAATGATAGTAAGATGAAACTATATGCTAAGCAGATAGTACTTATATCTAGTATCTCACAAGTAATAATGTTGTTGCTAAGTGTCCTGGAGTTAGTTGTGACTCAGAGCAATCCTGTACAGGTTTGGACCTCCAACTGTGGTGAGCAGTTAAGTGCTTATCCTACAGCACCTAGCCAGAATGTCATAAAATGGTGATAGACATGTTGAATGCCTCAGGCTTAGACATGTTGAATGATTACCAAAATTCTTGAGAACTTTGGTTAAGGACACAGGGAGTCTTGTTTTGTTTTGGTTGGAATTTCCTTTAACATGTTTATACATTATTTGTAATTCCCTTTCTTACTAGAAAGTCCATTCTTAGTCATATTTGCATGGTGCTGAATTCTGAAATTTAAAATTCCTTTCAAGTTCTTTTTGGATTAGAAAAAGTGAAAAAGGAAATCTTCTTTCATTACTTCTGTAAGTTTGTTTACAAAATCAACAGAGTAGTTACCCCTTTGCTTCTTGTTGTTGTTGGTAGGTACAACCAAGTCAGTATTGACTCACAGCAACCATAAGCACAACCGAATGGAACAATTCCTGGTCCTGTGGCAACCTCACAATCTTGCTACATTTAAGCCCGTTGTTGCTTCCACTGTACCAATCCATCTTGTTGGGGATCGTCCTCTTTTTCTCTGACCTTCCACTTTACCAAACATGATACTCATCTCCAGGGACTTTTCCTTTCTGATAATACGTTCAAAGTATGAGGAACGAAGTCTGGACATCCTGGTTACCAAAGAGCACTCTGGTTGTACTTCCAACACAGATTGGTTTGTTCTTTTGGCAATCCATGGTACTTTCAATATTCTTCTCCAACCCATAACTTGAATGTATCAATTCTTCGATGGTCTTCCTTATTCACTGTCCAACTTTCACATGCATATGAGGTTATTGAAAATAGAAAATACCACAGCTTGGGTCAGGGGCACCTTAATCCTCTAACAGTTATCTTTTTACTTGCACACTTTAAGAGGTTTCAGGCCGCAGATTTGCCTAATGCAATGCATTGTTTGATTTCTTGACTGCGGTTTCCATGAGTGTTAATAGTAGACACAAGCAAAATGAAGTCTTTGACAACTTGAATCTTTTTTCCATTTATCATGATGTTGTTTATTGGTCTAGTGGTAAGGAGTTTTATTTTCTTTACACTGAGGTGCAACCCAAACTAATTGCTGTGTCTTTGATCTTCCTCAGAATGTATTTTAAGTCCTCTTCACTTTCAGCAAGATGGTATCATCTACATATTGCAGGTTGTTAATGAGTCTTACTTACAGGGAGTCTTTTAAGGATACTAATAAGTATGTGTGTTATGGGCTTTGGGAAAGAAGAGTCAAATTAGCAAAATAAAAGGATATTAAACCATAACGGATTGGCATGGACATACTCAATTTGCCTAAGGTTTTCATTTCAAATTCTTACTCAAGATAAGAATATTGTTATTTGTCAATGAACAATGATTTGATATATTCCTTTATGAGCATATCATTCTAATTATTATTTTTTCTCTGTTTTTAAGTGCCCTAAGTGAACTGCAAGGTTGGTGGTTCAAGCTCACTAGCTTTTCCTTGGAAACCCTATGTTGTTGTTGTTGTTGTTAAGTGCAGTCAAGTCGGTTTCGACCCATAACGACCCTGAACAGGTTTTCCGAGGCTGTAAATCTTTACGGGAGTTGATAGCCTAATCTTTCTCCCACGGAGCGGCTGGTAGTTTCGAACTGATGACCTTGCGAGTCTTTGCCCGATTCGTAACCACTACGCTACCAGAGCTCCTCTGGAAACCCTATAAAGGGTCGGAATCGACTTGATGGCACTTAACAAGAAGAAGAAAGAAGTCAGTTTTGACTCATAGCGACCCTGAATAGGGTTTCCAAGGAGCGGTTGGTGGGTTTGAATCGCCAACCTTAGAGTTAGCACTCCGCTGCTTATACTATAGTTGCACACCAGGACCAGCTTTGATTAAAATAAATAAATTTCATAGAGGTTGTAGACTCTGAAATTTACTTACCAGAGTAGACAATATTGCCACCTAGTGGTAAAAAATGCTACAGCCACCACTTTTGGGGTCTGGGCAGGGGTCCCTAGAAGGCTCTGAGGGGTTGTCCTCTAGATTCTACCTTAATAATAATACCAAAGCCCACCAAAAAACACACAAACACCTCCTGAACAAGCACACGGTTATATCTGTTAGAGAACCCACTGTACTCTGGCCCCCAAACTATCAGTTTTACTGAAAAAATATACCACTATCTTTAAAACAGTCACCTTATAGCTTTGGTCAACTTTGTTTATTTCATTTTCTTTGAACTTTTAAAATCCATTTCTCTTTGGTCTATCTACATTTTTGAAGTGTTTTACAAATAGTATCATATCTTCACAATAACGATGTTGTCCTATATCACCACTTCCAGGAAAAAAAAAACAGGTACCAAGAATTCAATAGTGAGTAAATCTAAGCCTTAAAAGAAATCCGTAAATCTGGAACAGGCAAGCAAGATTTTGCCTCAATCTATACAAGAACAAGTTTTAAGAAAGAAAGAAAGAAAAGAAAAAAAAAAGGAAGGATTTCAAGAGTGAAGCAACTTTAACAGAAGTTGTCAATATTCTAGAGACAAATATTCTCAGCAAATACTCATTTGGCGCTCCTCTTAAATTAAAATTTTAATACTTACTGCTTCTTTTCATTGACCAAAAGATTTATGCAACCCTTTGCTTTTGCCATCAGGCCACCAACAGCAAATACCATCAGTGATTGGAGAACCATGCCTATGACTGGACCACTCATTAGAGCATCAATGGTAGATTCTTGCCCAGTGCCAACAGTGATCCAACATAGTAAAGACCACAAAAGATGTGCGAGTACACACAAAATAGTCCATAAGACTTTTTAGCCCACTTTTGATGAAGTAATTATAGAAACATAGGCCATTCATTTAGTTCTGTTTGAATAAAGGAACAGTGGCAGAGCGGAAAGAGGAAATTTTCAGAAATCCATAATCTGTGTTTCTTCAAAATTTGCATCAGAGGCAGAGTCATGCCCATGCAAATGGTTCTTAGTTCAAATTTGTGTCAGAAAAATCTGGGTCCCACTTACTTCCCATATGCAAATCTCCTATGAAAGCAGCCTTTGGCTCTTACCTATAATAAAAAGAATCTCCACTGCAATGTCACTGACTGTGGTGCTCCGAGTCGTGGACAAGTCATCGTTGCCAATAAAGCAAACGTTGTAAGGTACAGTCACGGCAACATAAAACGTTGCCAACAAAATAAGCCAATCCCAGCCAGCTTTAAAAGTGCTAAAATGCAAAAGTATGAATTTGGACTTTTTTGCATCAGAAACTTTGTACTCCGGAAATGCTGGTTTGTCTACAAACACATTCTGTGAATAAAGACACAAAGGAGAGAAAGGAAAAAACACAAAATTAGAGAGAAGGATTACACATGTAGCCCTAAACACATACTTATGTTCAGAAGAACATTCATGCATACAATGTTGTACATCTTAAAGATGACTTTTGAAAGTTGATGACGTAAAAAGCAGAGCTGTATACACTAAATTGATCAGAGGCTTTTGCTATAGTAGTAATCTTCCCTATAAATTAACACAAATACACATGTTAGTCATAAATATTAAATGAGTAATCCAGAGTTTATTCTTTAAAGAACAAAATGGCCACTATCTAAAATGTCACCTAAAAACATTTACAGTTGCTAGTATAATCCCACATACATTATAAACCCAAAGGTACCTTTGTATTTCCATTGCTGTGTGGATATCCTGTACATACAGTTTTTAAATTACAATAATTTTCTAAAGAATGTATTCGATTTAGGATTCTTCTGAGGATACCAAAGGTACTATTTTCTCTAGCTATATGACCAAAATACTATTGTAAACAGCTGTTTACATTTATTTCAAAATATAACCAGGATATACTAACTGCACACAGTTTTTGCATGGTGGTGGATGGTAAAGTTTTGAGTTATGAAACCTAACCTCAGCCCTTTTGGCAGGGATTTATTCTGACACTAACCAGCCCTTGTTAAAATGGCAAGGTGAAAAACAGTTATTTAAGGGTTAATATTCAAGGCATGGGAGGAGAAAACCAGTGTTTGCTGTGTAACTGATTAAATGTAGAGGAATACCTGGAGTTTTTGACAATTGCAAAAGCATTTTACTTTGAAAGCAGTCCCAAATGATAGACAATTCTTTCTGCTATTGGAGAAAGGGAGGCCCAATCCTACCAATTGTGGAGATTTGACAAGCCTGTGACCAGATATTTGCAAACTTGCTTTGACCTCAATTAATGAAAAATACAAGATAGGGGCTGGGAGCATAAATTTGAAAGTTACATTGAATTAACAGGCAGTTAAAAGTTCTGAGACACCTGCTATATCCAGGTCACGGTATTGTTTTCTTGTCTCAGCTACTAAGGAAAGGCCACATTTATGTAGTGTGTTCAAGAAGTCCTGCCTAAAATAAAGTAGTTGAAATTCAGGTAAGGTTTAGAAGAATCAGGGAACCACATAATTCTACTATATGTCTTTAATTCACCCTCTGTCTGGCGTATGTCTTTGGAAGGCAATCTCAACACTTGTTTCTAATTCCCATTAATATTCTTATTCAGCCCACAAGGACACTCCACAATGCCAGTATTCCATGATGAAGAACAACTTCATTATTCATAGAAGGTCCATTGAAGTCATCTGCCACTGTTTCTGGTGCCCATTCAACTCCCAGATACTTGACCTGCTCCCTCCACCTCATTCCCTATTTTCTAGGAGCAAGTGTCAACCAAAGGTAAACTTTGGAATAGAAATAAAAAGAGGAGAATGGCATGCTTCTATTGGGCTTCTCATTAAACTCAGGCTAGTGCCTAAGAGAAGAGGGATGTTGGGTCCATAAATTTTCATTCCCTCAAGGTTGATGAACACCTGCAGTTAAAATACCAACAATGGCTTCTAACATAATTCTTTAAAAAATGTTAAATAAGGTATTACCAGAAGCAATAGAGAATGTTATTTCCTATCCAAAATAGTTTCTATCATGTTACAAAAAGTTTAATTTTGCTTTTTTTGAGAGAGAAATCACGTCTTGGAGTGAAGGTTGAGCTAACTCAAGAAGTAAAGTATATTCTTTTGATTTTAGGTGAAAGATTGCATGCAGTATTAATGAAGTGGTTGCAAAAGTTCAGCCATATATTAGTTGTAGCTATAAATAGAAAATAAGTCACTCTACTTCTTTTTCAGATTACCTAAAACATTTTAAAGTAAGAAAAATACTGAGAATTCAGTGATAGACTCAAAATGTTTTAAAACTCAAAATCTGTATATATCGTGACACAATCACATGAATAAGAAAATAGCTGTTTTCCTCCCGTCACCATTGTATTTGTTAACTTTTGCCAAAAATTCTTTTTTTTTTTTTGCCAAAAAAAAATCTTAATAGAAAAATTCTTATATCAGAAAGTGTGCTTCTATTAACAAGAAAGAGAAACAAATAACATTATTTATAAACTCAAACATATGGAGTTTGTTTAAGGAATAATGTTAACTAACTCGATTTAGCTGTATATTTACACATACATATTTAGTATATATATAGTTGTTAAGTGCCATTGAGACCGTTTTGACTCATAGTGAACTTGTAAAGGGTTTTTGAGGAGTGGCTGGAGGGTTTGAACCACTGACCTGGTAGTTAGTAGTCCCACCAGGACTAGATAGCTAGATGGATAGCTAGCTAGATAATGTTTCTATATGCTGTTGAATCAGTTCTGACTCATAGACACCTGTATAGGGTTACGAGAGTGACTAATGCACTTGACTGTTGACCTAGTGGTTAGCATGGCAAGAATTTCAATGCTTATCCTACAGTCTTACAACAGGGGCTCATGAGGCAGCTTCAGAAAGTAAAATTGTATGCAAAAAAAATTCCAAAAAATTCCATCATCTTTTAACTGCATTGTTCCACAAACCTTTTGAATATAAATTATTTTTAATATAATTTATAATATATATAAATTTAATTTTATATAAATTAAATATGAAGCATATCTCTTTAGTGCCAATTAAACCTAAATTGTATAATCTCTGCCTTATAAATTATTGAAACACAACATTTAAACCAAAACCTAATTGTGGTAACTAATTCCTAAACTATTTTTACATTTCTTTGAATGTAAAATATATTTTTACATTTCCTGAATTAGCAAAGAAATAAGGAGCTCTGGTAGAGTAGTGGATATGAGCTGGGCTACTAAACTCAAGGTTAGCAGTTCAAAACCACCAGCAGTTCCGCAGGAGAAAGATGAGGATTTCTGCTCCCGTAAAGATTTACAGTCTCAGAAACGCTGTACACGGTCGCTATGAGTGGAAACTGATTCCACAGCACACCCCCCACAGGCACTACAAAGGACATTGAAAGCTCAGTATGTCCTGGGGAGGCTCTGCTGGATAATGAACTGGGTTGCAAGGTTAGTTTGAACCACAGGTTCAGCAGTTCAAACCCACCAGCTGCTCCTTAGAAACCCTACACAGGATCACTATGGGTTGGAACAAACTCAAAAGCACTTAGCAACAACAACAACAACAACACCTAAAGTGCTCAAAATATTTGGTATTTATAGCACTCTCCCTTTTCTATCTCCTTAGACTTTCATGTGCTCTTGCAATGGTTCTTTCAACTGGAAACACATGGACCCTCCTAGTCTCAGTTTACATAAGGAGTAAGGAAGAAATTATAAAAGACAGAAATTAAACTCTTTTTCCAGGATATAGCAATTAATGACATAGCCAGAACTGAAAGGCATTATTAAGTCTTGATTCCTAAATCATGCCAATGGCCCAATGATTCTATTAGTTAATGAGTGAATCACACATGCTATCCCACAGGATTACAGTAGTTATACAGCAAAGCAAAGTTATAAACATAGTGACTTTGAATCAGAAAACTTAGGTCTGAATCCTACATCTGCTACTTCTATGTTAGAGACCTACATGTGAGATAATTTGGAAAATTTCTCCCATCATTAAAATGAAACTAAAAAAAATAATATATACTATAAAATTGCTATAAGAATCAAATAATGAGACATAAGTAATAGGAATATCTTAATTGCAAAGAGCTGTAAAATATTAAAGAAGCTCTGGTAGCGTAGTGGTTATGAATCGGGCTGTGAACCTCAAGGTCAGCAGTTCGAAACTACCAGCTGTTCCGCGGGAGAAAGATGAGGCGTTCTGCTCCCGTAAAGATTTACAACCTCAGAAACCCTGCACAGGGTCGCTATGAGAAGGAACCGACTCCACGGCACACAGCCACCACCATAAAATATTAAGATTTCTTATTTGTGTGGGCACTTGAATGCTACTATAATCTAAATTCTATAAAGATGGATTTCTTAGCCATTGAACTATCCAGGTCATTTCCTCCTCTTCTTTATTTTTTCTGCTGTCATTTAGCCTTTCTACCCTGTTTTCATTGAAAACAATATGGTGAAAAGGGCTAGTCCTAATTCAACACTTTGCTTTCTGAAGTAGGACACTACCTGCAATGTCAGAGTTTTCATGCTGATTAGACATTCTTAATTATTATGTATTATTTTGATCTTCTAACCTGATATTTATACTTCTTAAATGAATGCCAATTAAGCAAATTAGCTAAATAGTAAGTGTTATGATTTTTTTTATCTGATTTTTTAGTACTTTTTTGTGCTCTGTTGAAACTAAAGGGAAAAACAGCATGTTCAGCAAATGCATTCTAAAGCTCTATATTATGTGCTATGACTAAGTGATTCTCAGTGAAAGGATGTGAGAGAGTGCTAGCTTTCTGCATTTTGGAATTTCTGGCTAATATTTGTTTGGGTGCTTTTCCGTTGGGTTGCTTAGAATCAAGTCCCAATGTGGTTACCTTTGTATCTTATTGTTGTTGTTATTATATGCTGTCAAGTCGGTTCCAACTCATAGCGACCCTGTATACGGTTTCCAAGGAGCAGCTGGTAAGTCTGAACTGCTCCCCTTGCAGTTCAAACCAACTTTGCAGTCCAGGGCAGTGTATCTTCTTAGGGCTCATTTAATGGCACCAAGAGAGATGGAAATAGGAACCAGCTCCATAGATTAAGTGGTTGTGCACTGTTTCAAGTGTCTCCCTGGACTTTCAAGAATTCATAAGGCACAGGGAGCCCTGGTGTGGCGCTGTGGGTAAATGCGCCAGACTGCAAAGCCATTTAAACTGCAAGGTTAGCAGTTCAAACTCACCAGGTGCTCCGCGGAAACCCTATACAGGGTCACTATGGGTTGGAATCAACTTGACGGCACTTAACAACAACAACAACAAGGCACAGGTAGTGTAGTGGTTACACATCAGGCTGCTAACCTTAAAGTCGGCAGTTCAAAACTATCAGCTGTTCTGTGGGAGACTGTAAATCTTTCTGCTCCCGTAAAGATTTACAGCCTTGGAAACCCTTTGCAGGGTCACTATGAGTCAGAACTGACTCCATGGTATTTAACAACGACAAGGTACAGTTATCCCTAGAAAATTTCTATGAAAAATCAGGACAACAATCAATGTGTGACTCTCAACTATGCAGTGTGGAGACCAGAATGGTTATAACTGATGGATCTGGAGCTCAAACTGAACAAAACACCTTGCTTTGACTACCAGAAAGGAATCACATTGGAAATGAATCAGGTTCATAACAATTTCATTTAGACTTCACTGCATATCTGGAGTTCATCACAATCAGGAAAACCAAGTGTTTGTATGTCTATTACATTATTATATTATCAAAGTATTTGTCAGGTAATCTCCTAGGTTCTATGTAAAAACTAAGATGCAAAAGAATCTCCTTTTATCCCTAACTTCCAGAAGTTCTGGATAACAACTATAATTTATTAAGAGTACGACTTTGTACAAAACTGAAGTATGGCATGTAATTTCAAATTCAGCATTTCAGTGTGCAAAATTTCCAACTGTGTTCTGTATAAAATGTTAATTTTAAAGTGGAGTAATGACTTTGATTTGTTCATGGTCCCCAGAGGAAAAAAGCATTAAGTGAGGCTTAAAGGGCAAAATCAAAAGTACTAAAATTAAATTTGAGAAATTTTAATCAACAAACTGCGAATGTATTGTATGACTTGCTGCATCATCTAGTTTCATAAAATGTATCTAGTATGTCCCAATTTGCAGAATCCCTGGTACCATATTGTACTGCACTGCAATAATATTCTAATCTCTGTGCTGTGGTAACATTATGATTAAGCATTTTTATTACAAAACTGCCTCATGACTGCTGAACTTTTCCAGTTTATTCTTTATAGGAAAGCACAAATCAAAGTGGAAAGAAATCTGAGAAACCCAATAAATGAGCAATTGGAGTATTTCTTTAACAAATCAAGCATTGCCACCAGCAGAAACTCTAGTTTTCATAGGCATGCACATATCACCTACATTATTTATTTTCAATTTGTTCTTTTCTCTTCTTTGCAGGTGCCCTGAGATATGATAAAGGACCGCTCGACTCCGTCTCCGGGCTGAGTCAAAATGAGTCCCTGCTCTTGATCTTCCTTTGGCTTTATCTGAGGAGAAACAAAACTCATTAAACATCAATGTGTCATTTCAACTCATGAATGTCATGTTTTGACAGTTCCTTAGTTCCTTTTCAAGGACACATAGCACATGTTTTTCAACAATTAAAATTACCTGCTGGCTTCTGATGACATAAAAGTCCCTACAATTTATATCTATTCATCATCTTGGAGTCCTGATGTGGCACTGTAGAATAAGCACTGGGCCACAGGTTGATTTGAACCTCAAAGTTGGCCATTCAAATCTATCAGCTATTCCAAATTCAGGATTCCAGCTCTAGGGGAAGATTTTCTTTCTCTATTGATTCTGGGGGAAGGTCCTTGTCTCCTTTCAACATCTTTCTTTGGGCCCAGAGTTTCTTAGGGATCTCCATCTTGGCATCAATCTTCCCTTTGGGTCTAGTAGCCTCTCAGTGCAGAGACTCTAAGTTTCAAAGAAGGTTACCAACTCCTGGCTCTTCATTCTTAGTGGGAGTCAAATACCTCTGATCTTTGATTGCTTACTGTTGTTGTTGTTGTTGAGTCAATTTGGACCCATAGCGACCCTGTATAGGGATTCTGAGGAGCTGCTGGTGAGCTTAAACCGCCAACTTCGCAGTTCAAATAAATGGCTTTGCAATCTGGGGCGTTAACCCACAGTGCCACAAACTCTGTTATATCTCAATATAAATGGATTCAAGAAACAACTTAAATCCATAGATAATGTTATCTTGCCTCATTAATAGACCTGCCTCTTATCCTATCATATTAACAACATATCCTTCCACCATCTACTGCCATCAAGTAGATTCCAATTCATAGCCATCCTTATAGGGTTTTTGAGACTGTAAATCTTTAAAGGAACAGAATGGTTGGTAGGATTGAACTGCATCCAGTGCTTATCCTACAGCATTACGAGAACTCTTTCATTAACATCATTGTTGCTGTTGTTGTTAAGTGACATCCAGTTGGCTCTGACTCATAGCGATCCTGTATAGTGTTCCAAGGAGCAGGTGGTAGGTTTGAACTGCTGACCTGTGGTTTGCAGTCCAGTGCTGATCCTACAATGCCACACCAGGATTCCACACATATGATAATTATATCAGATCACAAAAGGAAGGATAATTATATAATGATGAGATTGATAGCCTAGTCTAGTTAATACATATTTTGAGGGAACATAATTCAATTCATAATACCTAAATCCACATTTATATTTGCTTTCTTTACATAAATATAATTTTAAAATAAAAACTTTGTATATTTTTCTCTTTCCCCAAAGAAATAACTTCTAAATCTTTCCAGATCTACAGTTACGATTCTTTCCTAATCTTTATCATTGCTAATATTCTACCTTTTCAGGGATATAAATTCAGTTATTTTATTTTCTCCCTTTATGAACATTTAGGACTGAAAAGAAAATCCATATAGATAATCCTCAAGGAAAATTCTTAAACACATAGAGCTTTGCGTTTGTGTGCTAAGATATTCAGTGAATAAATTCTTCCTAGTAGATAGTGCACTTTAAACACTGATGTACAAATTCTTTCAAGATTGTAGTTTATAGTCCAAACACAGTAAATGAACGTGACTGCTATACCACACACAAGCCAAAATATGAAGTATCAGTGGATTTAATATTCTGATAGGTTAAAAAAAGCCATATTCTTACTTGATTTGCATTTTTAACATCAAGAATGAAAATGAGCATTTCGTTAAATATTAAATGCCATTTGCATTTGTTTTTGCAACATATTCTTGTTATTTTCACCTGTTTAAAACTTAAGTTTGTCCTTTTTAAAATTTATTCCTAAGAGTTCTTTGTGTACTACAGAAATTATCATTTTCTGATCATCTATGCTGCCAAAAATGTTCACATCTTGTTACTTGACTTTGAAATTTGTCTATACAGTATAATTGCTTCCAAATTTTTGACACTGTTAGATTTTTCAATTTATCCATTTGTAACTTCTAGACATTATGTCTTATATTGTTTTTGTTAGGTGTCATTGAGTTGGTACTGACACATAGTGACCCCATGCACAACAGAATGAAACACTGCCCAGTCCTGGGCCAACTTCACAAATATTGCTACGCCTGAGCCCATTGCTTCTACCACTGTGCCAATCCATCCTGTTGGGGATCTTCCTCTTCTTCTCCAACCCTTCATTTTACCAAACATGATATCCTTCTCCAGGGACTGGTCCCTCCTGGCAATTATGTCTGAAGTATGAGAGACAAAGTCTGGCTATCCTGGCTTCCAGGGAGTATTCTGTCTGTATTTTTTCCAATACAGATTGGTTTGTTCTTTTGACAGATAAAGATATGTTTAATATTCTTCTCCAACACTATAGCTCAAATACATGAATTCTTCTAAGGTCTTTCTTATTAACTATCCAATGATCAACTATACTTTAAGAAGACAGCTCTTCCCCAGTCATATTTTGAATGCCCTCCAACCTGAGGGGCTCATCTTCTGACACTATATCTGACAATACTTTGGTGCTCTTACCATGTTTCAATAGTCAATATTCTGGTGCTGAAAGTGTTCCATGGCTATTCATAAAGTTTTCAGTGACTAAATATTCATAAGTAGTCCATCTCTCCTTCTTCCTAGTCTGTCTTTGTCTGGAAGCACAACTGACACCTGTCCACCTTGGGTTACCCTGTTGGTATTTAAAATATTGGTGGCATAATTTCCAGAATCACAGCAAACACAAGCCACCACAGTACTACAAACTGGCATGCAAGATTTGGATGTCTTATACAGCTAAACCTTTTTCATTCAAAAAACTTTTTAAAAATTCATTATGTTTTCTGTTATTTTTATGGTTTTATATTTTTAAAAATACTTATTTAATCCTATATACTCTATTTTGATCATATAAAGCAGAGATCCAGCTATGTTATTTTGTCTCCTAAAAGCTATTGACCAAAAGTGGAGTCCCAGTGGTACAATAGTTAACTGCTTAGTTGCTAACTGAAACATTAGAGGATTGAGGCTAATGAAAAGCTGGCACCAAAGCCCAGGCAAACTCCAGCTAAGCAAAGTCTAGAGGTCAATTCTACTCTATTAATTACATGGGGTAACTATGAGTGGAAAAGAGACTCAATGACATGTAAAAATAACATTGTCCAAGAGGAAATAATAAATTGATTACATTCGGAAATATTTAGTTTTTAAACTTTGGTCAATTAATCAACATTCAATTTCATCTTTAATAAACTGTGTCTATTACAGTGAATACAAAATATTTTTAAAAAGTCATGTAAGCTAATATTTATTAAAATTTCATCATTAAGTCATTTTAGTATTATAAACATTTTATGATTCCTCTCTTCCAGGTAAATAATTTGGGTTTGATACTTTGTTGGGGAAGCCAGGTAACAATTACAGATGACGAATGATTGAATTTCAGTCAGTCCTTGTGTGGCGTTACGGGTTAATGCACTGGATTACCAAGTTGGTTTGAATCACAAGGTCGGTGGTCCAATCTCACCAGGTGCTCCTCAGAAACCCTATACAGAGTCATTATGGGTTGGAACTGGCTGGGCAGCACTTAATAACAACTATGTGCCAAAACCTGTTCTAGATTCTCAGTGTTATTTTTCTTAATTAATCCTGACAAATATCCAATGAGATAGATGTAATTACCCTCCATTTACAGATGACAAAACTGAAATTTTAATTACATATCACATGGTCATACAGCTAGTAAGGTGTAGAGTCAGTATGTGAAGTCAGATTATACCAATATCCATGCTTCTTCCATACATAGCATAGTTCTTTAATGACTTTAATACATTTTCAGAACTGCTACTCTTGTGTTGCTGCAGGATAATGCACTGAATCACAAGGTCAGTTTGAAGATAAAGGTTGGCAGTACAAATCCACAAGCTAATCCTTGGAAACTTTATACAGGGTTGCTATGAGTAGGTGCCAACTCACTTGACAACAACAACAACTCTATGTTGAGTGTAATACAGATTGATAAGCATCATCATTCCTGTCTACCTTAGTTTGTGTACCTGAGATTTAGACTTTAAATCTTTCAATAATTTGAACCATTCCCATTGCCTCTCCACCCTGGAATTCCTTTAAGCCCATTGCCATCAATCAAGTTCATGCCAATTCATAGTGATTTATGAGACAGAGGAAGACTGTCCTGTAGGATTTCAAAGGCTGTAATCATTATAGTTGTAAACTTTATGGAAGCAGACTGCCACATCTTTCACCAGAGCCACTTTTGGTTAGTAACTAAGCACCTAAACATTACATCTCCAGGACTCCATGGAAATCCTTCAATAACCGTAACGGAAATTTCATTCACAGTAAAAGTCTAATCTGATGCTACAGGTTTAATTTTTAGAAATTGTTCCCTTTTTGCTTCTTACACTTTGAAAGAGTATTTAGAATAGAATATGCTTGAATCACTATTAACAGGTCACAAATTAGAAAGGAGAACATCAAAAGGGACCCTTCATTTTGAATCTAAGGGTTGCACAAAACACATTTCACTGTAATGTTAAAAGGAAATATCAAGTTATAATGTGCTAAAATTTTCAGTCCACATAGTCCTTTTTTAAATGGCACTTAAAATGCAATTGTTAATACTTAGAGAGTAACTTTAAGTACTGTATATTTAAATTTTCAAACAGCCAGAGTTTTAAGACAGTGTATATAGACAATGTGATAAGAAAAGTCAGTAGACTGCACATGTAATACCAGTTAATGATAATACATATATCTTCTGGATATACAATGCTATCTACAAAATGACAAGATTAGATATTTATGGTAGTCAATAAGCAAATTCCCATCCCGGTGGAAAATCTAATTAATAGCTAAGATTTTTCCAATCTAAAAAACAATATTATAGTCTTAAAAATATGTTCCTCAAAGAGAAATGCCAAAGAAACTTTACTATCTCTGCATAAAAAAGAAAAAAATGTTTCCCTTGATAAATTTAATCATAATTTAACCCATTTTGATGACTAAAATTGAAAATCAT